TACGTGTTTCCTACACGATGACTGCTCCTAGAAGGTCCTAGTATGCTCAAACTTGTTTACTGTCTAGGTTCTCACTATGAGATTTTTCCAAGTGCGTCTCCATTGCGTCAGTTAACTCTACACCTAACTACATTAATTAAGTTGACAGCTGACCTTTTAGGAACTTCTAGAAAGCGAGTGCTACTGGGTTTTCTTTGATAGGACACGTCAACAAAATTACACTACACGTTATTTAGATAACTAGGTATTCCGTTTGCATAATATCCCTCTGCCAATAAACAGATGATGGTTCTAGAAAGGGAATGTCAAGGTTGCTAAGATTTGTTGATTTTCAGTCTATTCTATGCGCATTATCACATGTTCTAGCAAACAAGTGATGGTTCTAGAAACAACTGTGTTACACGATCTATGAACACAGGGATCTCTGTATGTGTTAACTGCTACAGTCTGTGTCAGTATTCACTTGCAGACATACGAATAAGCAAATAGACAGACTCAATGAACTTACGTACGAACGAGCGAACGCATGCACGAAACCACTTTATTTGGGCACACAGAACCATGTTATATTCTATCCTTTCGAGATTACATCTTCTTTCTGTCATATAGTCAGACAGGCAAACTGACAGCTTGTTGCAATAGCAGCAGCAGTAGCAGTAGTAGTAGCAGTAGTAGTAGTAGTAGCAGTAGTAGTAGTAGTAGCAGCAGCAGCAGCAGCAGCAGTGGTAGTAGTAGTAGTAGTAGTAGTAGTAGTAGTAGTAGTAGCAGTAGTAGTACTAGTAGCAGCAGCAGCAGCAGCAGCAGTAGTAGTAGTAGTAGTAGTAGTAGTAGTAGTAGTAGTAGTAGTAGTAGTAGTAGCAGCAGCAGCAGCAGCAGTAGTAGTAGTAGCAGCAGCAGCAGTAGTAGTAGTAGTAGTAGTAGTAGTAGTAGTAGTAGTAGTAGCAGCAGCAGCAGCAGTAGTACCAGCAGTAGTAGTAGTAGTAGTAGTAGCATGAGCAGCAGTAGTAGTAGTAGTAGCAGCAACACCAGCATCAGTAATAGTAGCAGTAGTAGCAGCAGCAACAGCAGCAACAGTAGTAGTAGAAGTGACAATAACTGCAGTAGTAGGGCCAGAAGTTGTAAGTATTAGTAGCAGAAGTAGTAGCAGTAGTGGTAGCAGTAGCAACAACAACAGAAACAGCAACAATAGAAACAACAACTGAAACAAGAACAATAAAAACAACAACACATATTTTACAGAAAGAAAGAGAAATAGAAAAAGCTAGAAGAAGCAAAAGCAGAGATTGTGGCGCAGCAACTGCATGATTACTCAATACATGTACTCAAAAAATTTATCCAACACTTTGACTCGACACAGGCACTGAACATCTTTACTCAGTACCTTTACTCAACACAGTTACTCAACATCTTTACTCAGTACCTTTACTCTACACAGTTACTCAACATCTTTACTCAGTACCTTTACTCAACACAGTTACTCAACATCTTTACTCAATACCTTTACTCAACACAGTTAATCAACATCTTTACTCAGCACCTTTACTCAACACAGTTACTCAACATCGTTGCTAAGCATGTTGACTTAACATATTTTCTCAACGCCTTTACTCATCATCTTTACCCAACACAGTTACTTAACATCTTGACTTAACATATTTACCCACATCATAATGACAGCATCAACCATCTAACAAGGAGCCACCATCTTCAGACTCAGAACACAACATACTCCACTCAATGGACACCTAAACAGAATACAGCCACAACACTCCCCAGAGTGCCAGCTATGTAACTACCCCTACGAAAGTGTTGAACATCATCTCTTTGAGTGCCCAAAACTCAGCGAGACTAGAAGAATGCTACTCCCTCCGAGACCAGACAAGTACTTCCTTAGACAAAGGAAAAGAACAGCCTGTGAAAACATGGAAATTCCAATACATGGCATTGGACAAAAGGGCGAAAACTCACGCATTGCTGCATCGACAACAACAACAACAACAACAACAACCCACATCTGTACTCAGCACCATTACTCAACACTGTTGGTCAATACTGTTACCCTTGAGATGTTAAATGTTGCACCCGCACACCTTTTGATGACGATTTACCAGGTGAGTGCAGGGACGTAAAGGGGCGTTCCGCACCGGGAGTCATCATTTAGCTTTGGAGGGGGGGGGGGGAGGGGGGGGGGATAAATTGGCAAAAACATGTGTTTTAATATTAAAAACTGTTTCAGAGTGTGTTTGTGCGTGAGTGTAGAGAGTGGCCGGAAATTTTCCGCACCGGGTACCACCTGAATTTGCCATGCCACTGGGTGAGTGGTCCGCTCCTAGTCAGAAAAGTTAAACTGAGCGGGCAGAGGATCTACTTTATTACATTTCATTTGTTTTTTTTTTTTTATCCTACATGGCTGGGTTTCTCTCTGCAGAATGGTTTTTATCCGAAATGGCTGGGTTTCTCTCTGCAGAATGGTTTTTATCCGACATGGCTGGGTTTCTCTCCACAGAATGGTTTTTATCCTTCATGGCTGGGTTTCTCTCTGCAGAATGGTTTTTATCCTTCAAGGCTGGGTTTCTCTCTGCAGAATGGTTTTTATCCTTCAAGGCTGGGTTTCTCTACACAGAATGGTTTTTATCTTTCTTGGCTGAGTTTCTCTCTACAGAATGGTTTTTATCTTTCTTGGCTGAGTTTCTCTCCACAGAATGGTTTTTATCTTTCTTGGCTGAGTTTCTCTCCACAGAATGGTTTTTATCTTTCTTGGCTGAGTTTCTCTCCACAGAATGGTTTTTATCTTTCTTGGCTGAGTTTCTCTCCACAGAATGGTTTTTTATCTTTCTTGGCTGAGTTTCTCTCCACAGAATGGTTTTTATCTTTCTTGGCTGGGTTTCTCTCTGCAGAATGGTTTTTATCTTTCTTGGCTGAGTTTCTCTCCACAGAATGGTTTTTATCTTTCTTGGCTGAGTTTCTCTCCACAGAATGGTTTTTATCTTTCTTGGCTGAGTTTCTCTCCACAGAATGGTTTTTATCCTTCATGGCTGGGTTTCTCTTCACAGAATGGTTTTTATCCTTCATGGCTGGGTTTCTCTCCACAGAATGGTTTTTATCCTTCAAGGCTGGGTTTCTCTACACAGAATGGTTTTTATCCTTCAAAAAAAAAACATCTACACAGAACGGTTTTTATCCTTCAAGGCTGGGTTTTTCTACACAGAACGGTTTTTATCCTTCAAGGCTGGGTTTCTCTACACAGAACGGTTTTTATCCTTCAAGGCTGGGTTTCTCTACACAGAACGGCTGTCAGCCTACAAAGAGCATCGTAAAAAGCCAGACCAGTTCTCGTTAAGAGGAATCTTCTACAATAAGTACGTCAGATTTAAAAAAAAAACATTGTTGCCAGTATATGTGTTTGCCCTGTTTCTTCTCAGATGGAGGTTCTGAAGTCCATTGACCCAATGAATTAATCGATATAGAGATAGATAACTTTATCCCTGGTTTCCCTGATCGTACCACAGACCAGTGACTGAACACTGTGGAGAAGCTTCTTGACACAGTGGTGAGGTCAGCAGTAAATGACAACATTAAAAGTCGACTGCGACACATCAATGCCGAAAAACATATGTTGGAAAGAAACCATACAGCCGCTAAAGACATACATACATGCACAAACACACACACACACATTATCGCAAGTAACACCAATTCAGACAGTTGGTTTATTTAAATATTGGTTGCCATCTTGAATTCCTGCATTGTTAGAGACACCAGTCCAGAATATCGCAGAACTATCACGATTAAGGACCTGGGCATTATGGTCCATCCTGTTCACAACTTGATCGGTCACTGAAGTCGAGACAACAGTCTCCTTGGGAACAATGTTGTTCGTGATGGTCAGCTGGGCAGTTTTCTGACCATCCATCGCCACCGATTGATGATCCATTGCTGTATTTAAAGCTAGTGTTTCTTGATCTCTGGGCGCAGTTGGATTTACGTTCACATTTTGAGAAATATCGTTTCCAACCTGTCCAGTCTGTACTTTATCAACATTTTGAACATTGTTGGAAATTTTCGGGGACAAACTTTCAATATTTGGATTTGGAGCAGTTCCAATCCTAGGTAAGTTTTGCGTGTATACCATCATTGGTAACGAAATATCAAGATTGTTTGTAGTTGGTCTGTTCTGCTCTGATCTGGCAGGAACACGAAAATTGGCGTCGTGTATTGTATTTCCTTGGACATTTTCTAAATAGTTTAGTGGTGTCATGGTCGATGGCATCTGTGTTGACTTTGGCTGTGCCGAGAATGACATTTCCTGTGACATGTGTGTTGATTGTGACATTAAGTAACTGACTACAGTCGTACTTGGTGATGCTGTAGTAACGCGGGATTTCATAATTTCATCCGCGTGCAATTTTTTGACGCTAAGATTTGCCTGTGTCCGATTTGTATTAGATAGTCTTCCGTTCCCTTGGGATATGTTGACTAACGATAAAGACGCGTTTTCCCGAGTGGCAACATTGTTTACGACCGGCAGACTATTGACACTCAAACTCACATGTGAATCACCTGATTTACCCAGCTCTGTTTCTAAGTGTTTATTATGTAAAGTAGGGTCATCAGTTGACAATGTTGTCTTCAGAAAGTCACGACTTTGTAATGATTCAGTTGCAGCTGGACCTTGACTACCAAGCTCGCCAGAACTGACCAACGACTGCCCCTCGACGAAACTGATCAACGGCTGCCCCTCGACAGAACTGGCCAACGGCTGCCCCTCGACAGAACTGGCCAACGGCTGCCCCTTGACGGAACTGACCAAGGACTGCCCCTCGACAAAACTGACCAACGACTGCCCTTCGACAGAACTGAACAACGATTGCCCCTCAACAGAACTAACCAACGACTGCCCTTCAACAGAACTGACCAACGACTTCCCCTCGCCAGAACAAACCAACGACTGCCCCTCGACAGAACTGACCAACGACTGCCCCTCGACAGAACTGACCAACGACTGCCCCTCGACAGAACTGACCAACGACTGCCCCTCGACAGAACTGACCAACGACTGCCCTTCGACAGAAGGCAAGTGTGTATTCTTTTCAATTTTATTCGTTTTCATATGAAGATCATTCCATGGTTGCTTCTGGTTGTCCTCATGGGCTAAATTATGATTTTGAAATGATTGGACGGAACCAATGCTACTTAACAATGAAATGACCGAAGTAATGAGACTGTCATTTTGTAGACTGGTGTAGCTTGTGGACGTGTTCAGGGACTGAGTTGCTGGCGAAGCTGATACATTCACTGATGCTGTTTCTTCATCTGATGTTAAGAGTGGGTTATCATAATGGTGGTAAGTTATGTTTCTATGCATCGACTGATCAAAGGTCTTGGTTCGATTCGTTGCCTCGATTCTGGTAATTATTTCCGAGATTTTTTCTGTGGTATCTTTGTGATCTGAAATAAATACAAAATTATATTTAAAATTGTTTATAACAGAACCACTGGCACCTCATTATGTATATGTATATGTATATATATATATATATATATATATATATATATATATATATATATATGGCAGCATGAACGTCGGTGTAGAAAGGATGAGGGCTTGTTATGTGGGTGTCCAAGGCATGAGAAAACGACGTGATGGTTCAGCAGACGGTTCTATGTTCAGGGGCAGATTTGAGTTCATGAGTGTTTATTGCAAAAGCGAAAGAGCATCGCTGTTTATAACCAATCTTAACCCATGGTATCTTTTTTTTTAATGGGGGTAGAAGCAGTCCTATGAGCTTTCCGGTGGCTTGAAAACCGGTCGCATGCAAGCGTAATGTTTGCAGCAGACTCACAAAGCACGTTGAAAAAGATGGAAAAGGCACCTTTTATTTGAGTGGTAAGCATCGCAGAAAAATCAATCCCCTGAGGTCGAAGGCAAAACTATAAATCTTTCTGGATCCAAGACTTTAAAAAAGCTGCACCAAAAAGCACAGAAGCAAGAGTACAAATGGATAATACAAAACACGATAATCATCGGGCTATTTATAGAAGAGAAAAACTCACATGCATCCGGACAAGTTGGCAGGAAAAGACTACAGCTCTCAACATGGAGAAAGATGGGAAAAAGCTATGGCATCTAGTAAAGAGTCTCAATGAGGAGAATAATACCAGCCGTGCCCACACTGTCATTGAAGATGGTGGAGAAAACTTTCATTGGTAAACAAGCAGCAAACCTTCTGGCTGATATTTTTTCATAGGTAAGCAAAATCTTCATGTCTACAGCGAGAGAAGAAGAAGTGACGAGAGAACTGAGGAAACCAATAAAAAGAAAGAAAATAACCAAATTATAATGAATACATTTTAGCCCTCAAGAACTTGAATGCGCATTAAGAAACCTAGACGAATAAGAAGTACAATACAATATTAACCAGTCTCTTACCAACAGAAGAAGAGAATGATAAAATCAATTAGAATGCCACCGAAACTGGCACAAGATGATTACCATATTATGGACAGACCAGAGCAAGTCATTATCCTTCGCCTTAGAACAGGGCACAATCGACTTCACTGCCACATGTACAACAAATTTAAGATTGGCCAATCAGCCATGTGTACTTGTGGACTGGCACCTGAAACAACAGATCACATCCTTCAAGACTGTCCTAGATTCAAACGCTTTCAGGCAAAACCTTTGGCCAAAAGAGACACTTGTGGAAGTCAAACTTTACGGGCCGCTTAGTGAATTACAAAAGACAGTGAAATTCATACTAGAGACAGCTTTGCAGATATAGATAATTTATTTCATGCGAACGAAAGAAGAAGAACAATATTACAAGTACAAATTAACTCAATTTCAAAACTGCTGGACACACTGCAGCCCCGCCCCCTCTCGAAACCTCCTTCTTTTTCTTAACCACGCCCTGCGGCATTGAACCCAGGTAATGTCAAGAATTGCATGGTGATTTCACTAACTCGTAAACCACAGTTTTCTTACCTCTTTCCTTGCTTCTCTGTCGGCGATCATCCAAGCTATGGTTTCTAGACTTGAAACTCGACACAGATGACAAAACTGTCTCAGACAACGATATATGTGACTGTCGAGAACTTGACATGCCAATTATCTCCTGTCCAAACAATCGTTCGACATTTCCAAACTGCCACGTGTCATTTCTATTCGAAATTAACACGGACAGTAAATTAGGCAATGTTACATTTGAAATGACCGATTCGGACACGATGTCATACAGAACGTCGCTTGGACTTGTAGGTTTTGTTGCTTGAACAGTTGTAGATTCTTTTACTGAAGCTGCATGTGTTTTCGAAACACCGACTAAAATTGCTTCTGTTGTTGTTTCTATATAGCTTCCTGTTTTTGGCTCGATATCTATGTATGCTTGCCCACCAAACATCTTTTGGGTATCACCATCTTTTCCTATAGCAATGTTTGGTGTGGTCATCTGTGGTGTGTCGGCAACATTCGTAGTTGAAACAGACAATGTTGAAAGTGCTGGTTGTTCTGACACCACTGACTGTATTGCAGAATCTGTGCTTGATGATGCAGGTATTGCGCTAACAAACGTGGAAGATTGTGTATATTCCGTTGACGCTAATCCCGAGGACTCCGTAGTTTGCTGAACAATGAATGACAAAGTCCCATCTGTCGTTGGTGATTGTGACACATACCTGTCCTTAAGAGGCGGATTTACTCCTAGTTCAAGTTCTCCAGGTGTGATCATGTCAACTGCACCCAGGGAAGGCGGAGTGGTCGTGGTCATGGAAGAATAATAATTCCTTTTAGATTTTTGAGCAAAGGGTCCTGGTGGTGTAGTAGGAGGCTCCCTGTTTGAAAGTTCTATCACTGATACCGTAGAATTTTCTATATTAGATAAGTTAATAGGCACCGAAGTCTGGTCATGTTTATTTGGCGTGGTTCCCTCTGGAGATATTGTGGACTTACGAAGAATATCAACGATATCAGGCGACCTTTGTGGTGTCTGGGTGACTTGCGATACTTCAATCTGGTGAGAGCAGACATGAAAATAGGAAGTTATGACCTCTACATCACAGTGTACACGTGTATGTTTGTATGTGCTTCTGGTCTTTCAAACCGATTTTTAAAAAAGTTATGTGCTGTTTTCTTTCTCATATTTCCTAATATTTTTCTCTTCATCACGCACGTGTTTTTAGGCACACACACAGACACACACACAGACACACACACACACACACACACACATCAAATATCGCCGAGATATTTAAAAGTGCTTCCCATCTTCAAATGTCTTACCAAAAGGTGATCTCTAGAAGGCTAGCAGCCTTCTAGATATGTTACAGTTACTAAACGAAGAAGTAAAATGATGATACTGATGATGAAGAAAAAGAAGGTCATCAACAACAACAACAACAACAAACACAAAAAACACAACAACTACAACAAGCCAACGAAGACAACAGCTTTGCTACTATTTGTTGCCATAACTGTGCTGCCCAATTAAGGGCATTTTGGAATAATGAATAAACTAGTAATGACATCACTGCACGGAGGACACTCCAACACGTGCTCTGTCCCTTATTGAGTAAACAACAAAGAAAATTACACCACCTGTACAAAAGGTTACCTGTCTAACCACCTGTACAAAAGGTTACCTGTCTAACCACCTGTACAGTAGGTTACCTGTCTAACCACCTGTACAATAGGTTACCTGTCTAACCACCTGTACAATAGGTTACCTGTCTAACCACCTGTACAATAGGTTACCTGTCTAACCACCTGTACAATAGGTTACCTGTCTAACCACCTGTACAATAGGTTACCTGTCTAACCACCTGTACAATAGGTTACCTGTCTAACCACCTGTACAATAGGTTTACCTGTCTAACCACCTGTACAATAGGTTACCTGTCTAACCACCTGTACAATAGGTTACCTGTCTAACCACCTGTACAATAGGTTACCTGTCTAACCACCTGTACAATAGGTTACCTGTCTAACCACCTGTACAATAGGTTACCTGTCTAACCACCTGTACAATAGGTTACATGTCTAACCACCTGTACAATAGGTTACCTGTCTAACCACCTGTACAATAGGCTACCTGTCTAACCACCTGTACAATAGGTTACCTGTCTAACCACCTGTACAATAGGTTACCTGTCTAACCACCTGTACAATAGGTTTCCTGTCTAACCACCTGTACAATAGGTTACCTAACCACCTGTACAATAGGTTACCTGTCTAACCACCTGTACAATAGGTTACCTGTCTAACCACCTGTACAATAGGTTACCTGTCTAACCACCTGTACAATAGGTTTCCTGTCTAACCACCTGTACAATAGGTTACCTGTCTAACCACCTGTACAATAGGTTACCTGTCTAACCACCTGTACAATAGGTTACCTGTCTAACCACCTGTACAATAGGTTACCTGTCTAACCACCTGTACAATAGGTTTCCTGTCTAACCACCTGTACAATAGGTTACCTGTCTAACCACCTGTACAATAGGTTTCCTGTCTAACCACCTGTACAATAGGTTACCTGTCTAACCACCTGTACAATAGGTTACCTGTCTAACCACCTGTAAAATAGGTTTCCTGTCTAACCACCTGTACAATAGGTTACCTGTCTAACCACCTGTAAAATAGGTTACCTGTCTAACCACCTATAAAATAGGTTATCTGTCTAACCACCTGTAAAATAGGTTACATGTCTAACCACCTGTACAATAGGTTACCTGTCTAACCACCTGTGCAATAGGTTACATGTCTAACCACCTGTACAATAGGTTACATTTCTAACCACCTGAGCAATAGGTTACCTGTCTAACCACCTGTACCACAAGCGACCTGTCCTCCTGCCAGGTGGGCATCTGCCTGCAGGTGTGGCAGCAATAGACCAACTTTGTCCGGTTGGTGTAGTACGGACAATCATCTAGAGCACACGGTGCCGTGGGGTCATCTCCTTGAGGACAGATGTCTGAAAGGACACACAAAAACTCCAGTAATGAGCTTTTAGGACAGCTCCCCTCACCCTTAAACAGTTTGCAGGTCACCCTCCTAACCATAAATAGACGTGTCACGAGCCTGCCACACCTCGCCGGGCGCGAGATTTCGTGTCGGCTCCCATTCATGCCGTAGCCGTTCCCACCGGCTGTACAATGTTGTAGGGTTGTTGTGATATCAAATTATTCCTCTCCGCAGTCTATATACACGGTGCGGAAAAGGCGCTCCTGTTCGTTCGAGGCTTGACATGAAAGTGTGTCGCTCTCTTCCGTGATTATTGTTTTAAAATTTTTTTTCTGTGTGCGCGAGCAAGATTTGAATTAGTTTTCTTTTCTCTCTCAACTAGCTCTCTCCTGCAACCTGTCACTGCTTTGAGAATTCGTGACATCTTCGGGCGGGTAAAAAATCATGGGGAAGGTCAGGTCACAGCAAGGTCGCAGTGCTAACAACGAAGAGCGAAAGCACATTGCAAGTAAAACCCATACACTTCTTCCTCTCACAGGGTCGAAAATAGGACGTGCTGGTCGCTCACAACGCGTAATATAGAATGCTTACAGCTTAAGAGGTAACCAAGCATGACACCCCTAGAGTATAGGACAGCCTGTGGGAAATCTCGCGCCCGGCGAGATGCGAACAGTTTCGTGATATGTAGCAGACTTTCTTTTTCTGTCTTAGTTGGGGTTTCAACTTCACTGTAATCAGGTCACCACATGCATGCTCGGGTCCCGTGCTAGTGAAAATAAAATGAAATGTCCCTCAATGACCCATTTACTAGAGGCGCTAAAGCCAACAGTCGTCACCAGAAAAGCAGTTTGTCGTTGATGGAAGTAGTCGGTCACGATAAGTTGGCTACAGGCACGTAAAATTATTATAGAAGGCATTTCAACAGCCAAAACATGAACTGGCTACCAGCCATACTGACTACCACGACTCAACTGCTGCACAAATGAAAGGCATTTAAAATGAGAAACAGCTTACAGTGCTCCACATGGCACTAAACTGAGTTGCTCAGGTCCGAAACCGTAGACTTCCGTCCATATGTGGAAAGTGCATTAGTAAAAGCTGTCGGGAGCAAAAATAACTCCGAAGCTAAAGAGTATCCGATGCCTAGTCCTCCCGATTAGACCTAAAGTAATTATTCATGCATTTCATATTATTTCAGATATAATTTTTTTTTTAATTCGGCAAACACAGATAATAAAAATTGTTATTATTACTGCACACTTAAACTGGGCTTAACCCAGAAAATGAAATGATTTCTGTTTTGCAACGCCTCTGGTACCCTTATATCTATAAACCAATGCTAGCTGAAGACCACATGCTAGATGTAACAACATAAGTAAAGATGCTTGAATTGGGCATTGAGTGTCTGCCCAGCAAAAAGAGCTTACTGAGAGGACACTTAACACGATTAGTATCTACACATCACGCTAACTGCTGCGGGAGACGAAGCATTTATGGGTATGTCTGGTGTGCTATTATATTATCATCATCATCGCGTAGCATGTCCTTTGCCGAAGTTTCACATCATGTCTAAAATGATCTCGGTCTCTCGTCAACTCTCCCGTTTCAAGCATTTGCCTACCATAGGTGTCACTAATATCCTGTGCCATTCTTCTTCTATCCTGTGCCAATCTTTTTATATCCTGTGCCAATCTTCTTATATCCTCTGCCAATCTTCTTGTATCCTGTGCCAATCTTCTTGTATCCTGTGCCAATCTTCTTGTATCCTCTGCCAATCTTCTTGTATCCTGTGCCAATCTTCTTATATCCTCTGCCAATCTTCTTGTATCCTGTGCCAATCTTCTTATATCCTGTGCCAATCTTCTTGTATCCTGTGCCAATCTTCTTATATCCTGTGCCAATCTTCTTATATCCTCTGCCAATCTTCTTGTATCCTGTGCCAATCTTCTTATATCCTGTGCCAATCTTCTTATATCCTGTGCCAATCTTCTTGTATCCTGTGCCAATCTTCTTATATCCTGTGCCAATCTTCTTATATCCTGTGCCAATCTTCTTATATCCTGTGCCAATCTTCTTATATCCTGTGCCAATCTTCTTGTATCCAGTGCCAATCTTCTTGTAACTTGTGCCAATCTTCTTAATCCTGTGCCAATCTTCTTGTATCCTGTGCCAACCTTCTTATATCCTGTGCCAATCTTCTTATATCCTCTGCCAATCTTCTTATATCCTCTGCCAATCTTCTTGTATCCTGTGCCAATCTTCTTGTATCCTGTGCCAATCGTCATGCTGGTCGGTCCTGCCCCTTTTTCCTGGCATCATGCCTTCAGTTACTATTCATTCCAATCTGCTTCGGCACTTGATTTGTCCAACATTTTCAGTTCCTGAGACAAGATGGTGTTTACTAGCCAATCTTCCTTGATATTCCTTTTTTTTAAATAATTAAAGTGTTTCTTTTATTCTTGGTCCATGGTGTTCTCAAAAAATTATTGTTTCCATTGAAAGTTTCTTAGAATAATTAGGTGTTTTTTTTTTTATTAATTCCTACACATCAAAGACAGATTGTCTACCTTCCATCCTGGGAGCTAGGACGTCTGGGACACACTGTCCTCTCTGGCACCACTGTCAGAGACACAAGAACATGTCACACATCAGCAACAGTACAGCTGTTATAGATCGATATCAGCAATAGTACAGCTGTTATAGATCGATTTCAGCAATAGTACAGCTGTTATAAATCGATATCAGCAACAGTACAGCAGTTATAGATCGACATCAGCAACAGTACATCAGTTATAGATTGATATCAGCAACAGTATAGCTGTTATAGATCGAACATCAGCAACAGTACAGCTGTTATAGATGGACATCAGCAACAGTACAGCTGTTATAGATCGTCGTCAGCAACAGTACAGCAGTTATAGATCGACATCAGCAACAGTACAGCTGTTTTAGATCGATATCAGCAACAGTGTGTCACATACATATACATACGAGAGAAAGTCAATAAATAAGTCACAAATGGTTATGTGATAGCATGAAAATGCGGTTGCTGGTTTCTAAAGGTGTCATTAGATGACAGCAACATCGAACTTTATATGTTCATTCGTTAGGTGGCGCTAGGTGTTGAATGAGCATTCGCAACATAGAAAAATAATTGTGACTGTACTTACTGAATGTACCCTTAAAAAAAACGTGCAATTGACATTGTAACAGACGCAACCGTGCAGCGGATGGAGGAGATGATTAGAGGTGACAGACAGTTAACGGTTGACTCTTTAGCAGAGACAGTTAACGGTTGACTCTGTAGCAGCTGCAGTAGAGTGCTAACATAGTTCAGCATACAATATAATGCACGGAAAACCTACTTTGGCGAGAGAATTTTGCGAATGACGCATAAGTTGAATGTGAAGTGAAAATGTGGTTTAGAAAACAGCACGCAGTTCTAAGCTGCAGGTTTGGGAGGACTGATAAAAAGATGGAACAAATGCATCAATGTTAGTAAAAAATTATGTTTAATAAAAAAAGGACACTTTATGTGTAAAAAATAAATGGGTTTCAAGTTGTTATCGTCTTTATTTTTTTTTAAATGATTTTTTAAACGACCATTTGTGACTTACTTATTGACTCACCCTCGTATCTGCACGAGTGTGTGTACATTCTCTATCTCTATTTATCTGTCTGTCTCTCTCTCTCTCTTCTGTTCCATCTGTCTCCCTCTCCCATCTGTCTCCCTCTCCCATCTGTCTCCCTCTCCCAACTGTCTCCCTCTCCCGTCTACCTCACCATCTACCTCTCCAATCTGTCTCCCGCTCCCATCTCTCCCTCTCCCATCTGTCTCCCTTTCCCATCTCTCCCTCTCCCATCTGTCTCCCTCTCCCATCTCTCCCACTCCCATCTGTCTCCCTCTTCATCAGTCTCCCTCTCCCATCTGTCTCACTCTCCCATCTCTCCCTCTCCCATCTGTCTCCCTCTCCCATCTGTCTCCCTCCCATCTCTCCCTCTCCCATCTGTCTCCCTCTCCCATCTCTCCCTCTCCCATATCTCACTCTCCCATCTCTCCCTCTCCCATCTGTCTCACTCTGCCATCTCTCCCATCTGTCTCACTATCCAATCTCACCCTCTCCCATCTCTCCCTCTCCCATCTCTCACTCTCCCATCTGTCTCACTCTCCCATCTCTCCCTCTCCCATCTCTCCCTCTCCCATCTGTCTCCCTCTCCATCTGTCTCCCTCTCCCATCTTTCTCACTCTCCCATCTCTCCCTCTCCCATCTGTCTCCTCTCCGCTCCTCCCTCTCCATCTCTCCTTCTCCCATCTGTCTCCCTCTCCTCATCTCTCCCTCTCCCATCTCTCATCTCCTCATCTCTCCCTCTCCCATCTGTCTCCCTCTCCCCCCTCTCCTCACTCTCCCCCTTTCTCTCTTCTCTTCCTCCTGTTTCTCTCTCCATCTCTCCTTCCATCTCTCTCTCTCCAGCAGTCTCCCATCTCTTCACTCTCCCATCTCTCCTCTCCCATCTGTTTCCTTCTCCCATCTTTCTCCTCTCTCCTCCTCTTCTCTCCATCCTGTCTCCCTCTCCCATCCCTCCTCTCCTCCTTCTCCTCTCTCTTTATCTCTCCCATCTCCCATCTCTCACCTCCTTCTCCATCCTATCTCCTCCTCTCCCCCTCTCCCTCTCCCATCTCTCCTCTCTTCGTCTCTCCCATCTTCCTCTTCTCCTCCTCCTCACTCTCCCATCTCTCCCTCCTCCCATCTTCTCCCTCTCCCATCTCTCACTCTCCCCTCTCTCCCTCTTCTCCTCTCCTCTCCCATCTCTCCCTCTCTTCATCTGTCTCCCTCTCCTTCCTCCATCTGTCTTCCTCTCCTTCTGTCACTCTCCATCTCTCCTCTCTCCCATCTTTCTCATTCTCCCATCTCTCCCTCTCCCATCTGTCTCCCTCTCCCCTCTCCTTCTCCCTTCTCTCACTCTCCCATTTCTCCCTCTCCCATCTGTCTTCCTCCTCCCATCTCTCCC